AATGTACGTATTGTTAACGCCAGTAGAGCTCACCTCATACAGTAGCAGCCAATCAAAATGGCTGTTCCTGGTCAAACGCCAGCCGAACGGAAGCCCACGTCCCTGCAGCTCCCAGCAAAATCCCCTCCAACTTGCAGCCACTGGCCTTCTCCTGGGCATGCATATTTTTTTACTCTGACTCCACCCTCCTCTTTAGATCTTAATGTCCACAAATCATGACAGACAGAATATTTTTAGTACAAAGATTGATGTTTAAAAAGGAACTGTAGGGGACCAGCCAAGGAAACATCAAGGAAAGTGGAGAGATTCTGAATGGCTGTAAGTTTGTCCTGTGCTTATCGAACACACAGACCTCCTGGAGTCTGATTCTTTGCAGATGATATTTTCATACCAACTTTTTGGCTGATTAAATAATAAATGAGGCCATTTTGGTGCAAAGAAACACTGGATTCTCATTTTTCTTTAGACTTTCTAACCGTTGCAAACGAAATAAGCCAGAAAAAAACCCATCACATTTTGGCTTTAAGTCTAGCAGGTAGAGCTCTAGCATCAAAATCATTAAACTTTAGTGTTTATTTGTATGTTTTGCCTCAGGTCACCTCCCTCCTTACTTTTGCTTTTGTTGTGGGACTTGTTACCCTAGAGACTTGTAGGATTACAGCGATTAGTGCATCTTTGATGTTATCAGCTATCAGCCTGATAACCTGGATTCCCTCTGTGTCCCGACCGTCCCAGGCGGCGTCCGCATGGCCGGCAGTCGGACGTTCTGCCTCGCCCGAATGTTCCGCATTGTTTACCAGCCTCTCTTCTTCACCTTTGCCCAGGTCTTCCTCCACAGGTAAAAACTGCTAATCACACTTTACAATCAGACGAATGGCCCTTCCAGCTGGTTTTATTAAAGTTATAGTCATCACCGTGTTTGATGAAGTCATTGCTTCTGTTCTGCATCTAAAAACAAAATAAACCTCCATTTTTGTTCCTTCTTTCAGCTGACTTTGTAGTGAACCGTTCCTCTGGCACCAGAGGGAGACTTTTCCTCAGAGGCTTGGTGAGAACTGCTTCTTTCTCTCCTTTCAGTGCGGGTGAACACTTTAATTACGGGAGTGTTGTGTAATAAAACCTTGCAGGGTGACTGTGATGAGGGAGCTGCTCAGTAATGAGTCCATTCTGCTGCTACGACTTACTCTTTTAGTTTATGGTGTATTTTTCCACAGTTCGAGTTTTTTTCTTCGTATGGGGGGAGATCATACAATCATACATTCACTGACTACTAAGAGCAATTTGGAAAGACCAAAAAGAGGTAAACTGCTGAGTTTTTTAGGTGATAGTATGGCGTCACATTTATTTCAAAACGGCCACGAGCAAAATAAACATACTCGCATGTATGTCAAACTACGTCTGCGCATGTGTAGGCGTTCTGTTCTCCTGTAAAGAGGTTGGGGTTGCGACAATAGCGGGAGGGGATTAACTAAAGTTGCTGCATTGTAGGTTTTTGAAAGCTTGAACCCTCGTCTGTGTCACAATTCTTCTAAAGCTCGGACCCACATGCAATGAAGCCAAACAGAGAGACACAGAGTAAAAAGTTTGAACGGGTTTTATTGAAAGGTATTTAGAGTTCCGAACTCTGCTCGACCGGAAAACTGAAAGACCAGGGGAAGACAGGCTGTTAGGTTCAGGCTCAGAGGGGAATTGGAGTTGTTAATCTTGAAGGAGAGGATTTGTTGCCACTCACGTTTCCAGAGAAGAAGAGACACGTAGAGCGTTTCTCAATTC